TAAAACTAAATGTATATTATTTTGTGTGTGCATTATTATTAAAAATAAAAATATAGAAATGATTAAAAATAAAATTATATATATATATATATATGTGTGTATGTATGTATGTGTATATATATATATATATATATATATACACCTTGCTACGTATACTGTGTTAAACTAACCGAGACTTGTCATTTGCACTTATATATTGTTGCTCTTTTGTTAGTTTTGACTGCTTTTATTGTCCTCATTTATAAGTCGCTTTGGATAAAAGCGTCTGCTAAATGACTAAATAAATAAATATATAATATTATAACATCAATACCTAACATAATAAATCCATTCATTCTCCAAACCACTTGTCCTAATAATTTTATATAAATGTATATCAAAACAGACACCAAACCAGATATTTAAATGTTTCCAAATAATCAGCAAAAGAATTGCAACTTCTTCTGACTTTTTCCCTATTAAAATAGATGACAGACTCTTCTATGTCGGCCCCAGAAGCCAGTAAATGCGGCTAGTTGTCTTTTTTTCAGAGAAAGAGAAGAGGTCTGTTCTTACGGAGTGCCACAATAACCCTGGGACTGGCAATCACAGTGGTGTCAGAGGCACTCAAACAGGATTTTTGCTTGTTACTATTGGCCTACAATTATCCAGGATGTGACAGAATGGGTAATGTACTACAGATGTGGTACTTTACCTTTACTTCTACTTTTGCCAGTTTTCTTCTATACAAGTATCTGTACTTAAGAATGTGTCTACTTTTGCCACCTCTGATTGTTAGATACCTCCTTGATTTAGAAGTTGTATTTATTGTCATCACCAACTTGTATCAACTGGCTATTTTTCTAGACATTTTGATTAAAAAATTTGTGTTGCTATTTAGGTCAGATCTCGTCACCGCTGCCAGTTGAATGACCCCATCTGAATTACCCCATCAAGACTGTGGTGCTCACAATGCAAACTGATGAGACTAACAAGCTAGTCTCAAACTTGTGTACAGTTTCCAGCATTTGGTTGATGCTAATTTTGTGCCATGCAGGTAAAAGAAGCTTGGGAGGTGCTTGGATTGGATTTGATTGGACCACTGCCAGAAACAGCACGCAACAACATTTATGTCCTTACGATGACAGACCTGTACACCAATTGGGTGATTGCAGAACCCATTCAATCTAAGACAGCAGCTGAGGAGTCTGCAATAATAACCACAAAGTTGTACTTGTTCGGCATGGTTAGGAAAATCATTACAGACCAAGGGAAGGAGTTTGTCAGCAAGGTGAAGTTTTGTGAAGGTTTAATTGTTTTTTCCCCCTACTCTAGTCTCAACATATATGTTGTTGTCTACAGTTACTCCGGTCTTGCAAATGGACTCTAAGCTAAAGTGGGACATGCTTTGAATTAAAAGATAATGAATTGCTTAATAAGAAATATTTTTGTTTCACATTAAATGTCACCAACTGTAGGCAGAAGACAGGGAGAGGAAAAATAAGAATAGAAATTTGTAAAGATTACGTTTTTGTGTGTAAGAAGTGCCTGTATGTAGTGAAGTGACATGTGGCCAAGTAAGGTGACCCATACTCGGAATTTGTGCTCTGCATTTAACCCATCCAAGTGCACACACAGCAGTGAGTAGTGAGAACACACAGACACACACAGAGCAGTAGGCAGCCATTTTTGCTGCAGAGCAGTTGGGGGTCCAGTGCCTTGCTCAAGGGTCTCACCTCAGTCGTGGTATTGAGGGTGGAAGAGAGCACTGGTTATTCACTCACCCCTCCTACAATCCCTGCCAGACCTGAGACTTGAACCCACAAACTTCAGGTTATAAGTCCCACTCTCTAACCATTAGGCCACGACTGTAAACAAACTCATGCCTGCTCTCACCCACACTTACACACACACTTAAACTCAGTTAGATACAAACACTTACAGTACACATACAAGCAGACACATCATAGATGAAATTGTGGCATTTTTATACTACACACAATGCGTTGTTCTTCTGTTCATAGTGGGATGACCTAAAGAGGTCAGTAGTAACCAGGTGAAAGGGGCCATGAGGTGACTTTGATCAGGCACATTTTTATTCAGACAGCTCAAAAATATTAAAAACATCACATCACCAATCTTTGATGCAAATACCCACAAGAGAAAAAAATAAAAATACAAATAAATCAGAAACAACAAAAAGAAAACCAACCATAGATGGCCACAGGTTACCTCGAAAGTGAAGACAGAAGTGGCACAAGAGCAAAAGTGTTCTCACAGCAGTCAAGCTCACAGCAATCACACTGCAAAAACAAAGAGTGATCAAACCACCACACGATCCCAGCCACCTCACCACAGCCATCCACACAGTGAGGGCAACTCCGTGGCCACCACTGGCTTAAGAAACCAAAACTGAACCTACAAAAGAAAAGAATAAACAACTTAATTAACAGTGGGCAATGCAGGTGACACAAACACAAGTCAGCAATATAACACAGTCACTATTAACCCAGTTTATTTGGGGCCTAATCTCTCCTCTGCCACTCTGGGTCCCAAATTCACAGAACAAAAGAAATAAAAAAACAATAACAAAAGTATTAAATCTATAGTAAACGGTAACCATGCATCCCTCTAACATCCACTATTTTCGACTGGGACAGTCAGACAATAATCCAGACACAACACTCCTTAATCGGTGCATCATATGTTCAGTTCTCGACGAAGCTCCAGAAGTATTTAATGTAACTGCTTATCTGCTGCCATTCTTTTGAAGTGCTAGATCATTCTTTTCAAAGTTCTAAATCTGCCGCGACATCCCCGAAATCAAAAGCGGAAGAGATATGAATGAACAACTGATCATAGATTAATAACAGTAAATGATCAACTACTATCAGTTACAGACAGTGAAAAAGATGAAAATATTCATATATTCATAAATCAGTCACATCACAGAATTAAACAGTTTAAAGTACAGAGACTAAAGTGGAGCTAAATTATTCTCTTATATTCTCCAATCACACACACAGGAGCTCTGTTACTGAACTTGGGTCATTTTAAAAACTTTAAATAAACAAACACTTACAATAGTATAATGATTCCAGTTTATAATGTGGATCATCCTTCAGATCAGAGAGTAACTTCACTCCCGAATCTCCTAGTTTATTCTCAGACAGATTCAGTTCTCTCAGGTGTGAGGGGTTTGATCTCAGAGCTGAAGTCAGAGAAGCACAACCTTCATCTGTGACGCCACACTTACTCAACCTGCAGAGAACAATGACACACTCTTCACTCTCTCAGATCAGATTAGCTGTGAATCCATTTTTAAAGATAAAGTACAAACTTAAAGCACAAATCAATATGTTTGATGGATCATTGGACTGAGGTCTAAAATGTCACAAAACACAAAACATGATCATAAAACATCCAAAGTCTTATTCAAGCAGGATAAATTATATTTCTTATATGCACTACATCTGTATATTATGCAAAATGCCTGTCTTATGCAAAATCTGTTTTAATTGATGACACTATTCACTACATAGCATGTGTGAGTGTCAAATATGATCTTACCCCAGTTTCTCCAGTTTACAGTCAGGATCCTGTAGTACATCAGAAAGCAGCTTCACTGAATCTCCTAGTTTATTCTGAGACAGATCCAGTTCTCTCAGGTTTGAGGGGTTTGATCTCAGAGCTGAAGCCAGAGCAGCACAACCTTCATCTGTGACGCCACAATAACTCAACCTGTAGAGAACAATGACACACTCTTCACTCTCTTAAACATAGTCATAAAACATCTAAATTTAACCTATTTAAATATAACATATTTTGTGCTAATATGTATGGAGTTGATAATGATAGTGATGTGTGTGTGTGTGTGTTTACACCACATGTCCACTGTCCTGCAGAGTGTTGCTCCGATCATCTTCCCAAAGACCTGCCTGGAAGTTACTAGTAATCCTGAAGATCTGGGCTGCATTCCACTTAGTTTTAGTGCTCTTCCCTCACTAACTTTACTCTGTCTTGTTGACTAAGATGTAAATCATTGATTTTGTTGCATGAGTGTCCACGGGCAGAAACCTTGAAATCAGCTGAACTGGAACGTCCTAAACTCTTGATCACTTGGATTCTGCTATAGAGCTGATTTATTATTTAAATTTTTTTTCCATTTTTTCAAGTTTTGAGGGAGCGTGCAATTGGCATGCTGACTGCAGGAATGTCCACCAGAGCTGTTGCCCGTGAATTGAATGTTCCTTTCTCTACCATAAGCCGTCTCCAAAGGAGTTTCAGAGAATTTGGCAGTACATCCAACCGGCCTCACAACCGCAGACCACGTGTAACCACACCCCAGCCCAGGACCTCCACATCCAGCAGAGTTCAGCTCATGAAAAATGGGGGCAAAAACAAAAGTGTTGCGTTTATAATTTTGTTCAGTGTACAGTATATAGGTATGCTTGAGCCGTTTTAAATATGCTGTTTTTTTTTTTTTCAACAGGGGTGTGACAGCTCAGTCAGTTGAACTCACAGAAACAGAAAGAGGCTGAACACTTCATATATACTTTACAATGTGCTTCATGTGTGAGAGTCAAATATGATCTTACCACAGTTTCTCCAGTTTACAATGAGGATCCTGTAGTACATCAGAAAGCAGCTTCACTGAATGTAGTTTATTCCATGACAGATTCAGTTCTCTCAGGTGTGAGGGGTTTGATCTCAGAGCTGAAGCCAGAGCAGCACAACCTTCATCTGTGACGCCACAATCACTCAACCTGTAGAGAACAATGACACACTCTTCACTCTCTCAGATCAGATCAGTTTAGCTGTGAATCCATTATTAAAGATAAAGTACAAACTTAAAGCACAAATCCATATGTCTGATGGATCATTGGACTGAGGTCTAAATGTCACAGAACACAAAACATGATAAAAAAATATCTAAATTTAACAAACAGTATTTAAAGACCCCTGTGGTGAAAATCAAGTTTTTAGCGTTGTTTACAGGTCTATCTGGTGTTTTAAATATGCTTAAAGACAAACCATGTGACAAACTCAGTCAACACCACTGATGAGTATTTTCTCCTTAAAACTGCAGCGCACCAAAGACAGTCTCAGAAATATGGTTTGAAACTGTTTCCATATAAACAATCATTGGCTTCAGATTTGTGAATTAGTTGTGTACTCTGCTTTAAAAGTGAACAGAAATGTGCTTTTGTGATCACTTTTTAAACTGTTTATGTGACTTTGATTCAAGAATATGGAATATAACATAGATGGCATTTGTAATGGCAAAATTGCCTGTTCATAATTCTAGAAACTCTCTCATAATGCAAACATATTCGAGTCTGTATCTAATGAAGGGCCTATGCTGCATTTGGGACAAGGTCTGTGTTGGGAATATCTGAGTTGACCTCAGTGCATTTCAGTCAGTCACATTCTCATGTTCACCACATGATGTCACATGATGAAACGAGAGCACTTGGTGTTTTTGTGTCAATTATGACAAAACACATTAAAAAACAGTACAGTTATTCTTGTATATTTCGTATATTGTATATTGTATGTGCATTTGTTTCATGCTCTGAAAACACTAAAGTTTTTTTATGCTTGTTGCTCATTGGAAGCAGGATCTTGGAAGTGAAGTCAAATGACGCATCTCTCTGAGGCTGGGGCTGATCAATCTGCTGCGAGCTCACAGGTCGGATGTCCGACTTCAAGCGATGTATCAGACATTATTTCCAAGTAGGAGGACGGAAAAATCAAACTTGGAGTTGTCTGGAATGCAGCACTAGATCAGGTCCCTTAAACTCCGGTCCTGGAGGGCCACAGTCCTGCAGAGTTTAGCTCCAACCCCATAAACACACCTGAACCAGTAATCCAGATCTTCAGAAAGTTACAGGCAAGTAAGTTTGATCAGGGTTGAAGCTAAACTCCGCAGGACAGTGGCCTAGTCTGACTACTAGGTGCGTGCACCTTGATCTACTCAGTCGTTCAGGTAAGTTTGATCAGGGTTGAAGCTAAACTCCGCAGGACAGTGGCCGGCCATGAAAAATGTTAATATTTTAATAATTTAACAACACATTCGTATGTTCATGATTGTCTGATTGACACACATGTAAACAAATAAAGTATTTCTCCACCTCCGCCTTTGCAAACCTCCATTCTACTCCACCGAGATGAATTGCTTCGGGCCCTACACAGTAAAGATTGGCAAACAAGCTGAGAAAAGGTGGGGAATAATTTTTAAATGTCTGACTACTAGGTGCGTGCACCTTGATCTACTCGGTCACATGAATACGGATTCCTTCTTGATGGCACTCCGGCGTTTCATTGCTCGTAAAGGTAAACCATTTGAGCTGCTCTCTGACAGAGGTACCAACTTCATTGGAGGCAATAAAGAGCTACTGGAATCCTATAAATCCTTAACCCCTGACCTTCAAGCAGCTCTGGCCAAGCAGAAGATTTTCTTCCAATTTAATCCTCCACACGCGCCCCACTTTGGTGGAACCTGGGAGCGCGAAATACGCTCCATCAAAATTGCCCTGGAGACCACCCTTGGTGCTCAAACTGTAAGCGAAGAGGTACTACGCACAGTCATGATTGAAATCGAAAGCATTCTAAATTCCAAGCCCTGAGGCTATGTGTCATCTGACATTGCTGATCCTGACCCTGTGACCCCTAATTTGCTGCTGATGGGGCGGTATGATGCTTCCCTTCCTCTCGTAACATATCCAGACTCTGAGCTGCACAGTCACCGTCAATGGCATCTTAGTCAAATCCTTTCTGATAATTTTTGGGCTCATTTCCTCAGTAATTACCTCCCCTCTCTTCAGTCCAGACAGAAATGGCGCACCGACAATCCTAACCTGCAACCTAATACTGTCATCTTGATTCTTGATCCTCAACTTCCCCGATCTCAGTGGTCAGTGGGCAAAGTCTTCTCCCTCCATCCCAGTAAGGATGGCCATGGTAGGGTTGCTGACGTCCAAGTCAAGGACAGGACATACACAAGGCCCGTTGCCCACCTTGTTCCTCTCCCGGCCTTACCTGATCCTCCATAAATTGTCAAATTTGCACTACAAATTTGGGGGCGGCTGTTTTAAAGTTTTTGTGTCCCTAAGCTGCACCCTCAAAGCAGCGCCACAACCCTCTTAGCCTGTCCAGTTCCGTTAGCCCCAAGCTCCACCCACCCAATCTCAAGACAATTAGAACGATCTCACAGACTTTATTAGCTGCACCTGAGTCCACAGCTTGGGCTTTTGTTGCATGTGGTTGTACTGTGCAGAGGACTGAGTTTTATTCCTTTCATTCTGTTTTTCCTCCGTGTGCGTAATTGACCATGTAAGTGCCTTTGTTTGATGTTAAATATTATTTTGTATGATTTAAGTTTGGCCTAAAAGTGTTTATTTTCATGCTTGCTCTAGTTCCTGTTTAGGCATGTGCTTTAGTTATTTAATGTGCAGTTGATGGAACATTGTGGTTGCATTGTACCTTATTTAGCACTGTTTATTGGTAAACTGAAACGCTGTATATCTGTTCCCTTTATAGAAACCACACGCACACACGCACATCTACATGCACAAAACCTCCTTGGATGTACAATAAACTTTCTTATACCTGGTTTAACTAGACTGGACCTGTTTTTACTGACAGCCCCACTGGCTTCAAACTAGCTACCTAAACATCTGCCACCTCCTTAACATGATCCTCCTTTTCAGAAATCATAAGGCTTTAACCTTAGGTTATAAATGGAACATAACTGTATCTGCACGGTGGGATGGTGTTCTAAAATATAGGTAAACATGTTCAATGTGTTTCCTCTTTTTGCGAACCGTTTCTATCCTCGAGGACAAATAAGCGTTCATCTTTTCTATATCCAAAGTATTTCCATACTGCCAATTTTAATTTATATTTCGACGTGGGATAGAGATTAGAGATAACGGCCTCTGTCTCTGATGTTGTCTCCAACAACTTAAGAACAGTTAAGTGGAAAGTTGTTGCCTAGGCGCAGGTGAGATCCTGCGTCTTTTATTTTCTCCCAATATCGTAGATAAGCAAATGTACATGGTATGATAATCGCACCTGTTTATACCGTGGTATATCCTCATACCGGTATATCGTTACAACCCTAGCAACGAACAAAGCTGAAAAATTCTTTAAATTCCAAATTTCCAAATCAAAAAAGACAGCTACGACACATTCTTTAATGAAAGCATCAGGAACATAACTTAAGACAGATAAGATGATCTGCACCTAATATGTATTATTCCATAGATTGTTCCTAACTACAATTTTCATCATGTAATTTGCAATCAGTAAGTGATCATTTGTAAAGAGCAGCTCATGTGTTACAGCTCAGTCAGTTGAACTCACAGCAGCAGAAAGAGGCTAAACACTTCAAATATACTTTACAATGTGCTTCATGTGTGAGAGTCAAATATGATCTTACCACAGTTTCTCCAGTTTACAGTGAGGATCCTGTAGTACGTCAGAAAGCAGCTTCACTGAATCGCCTAGTTTATTCCACGACAGATTCAGTTCTCTCAGGTGTGAGGGGTTTGATCTCAGAGCTGAAGTCAGAGCAGCACAACCTTCATCTGTTACGCCACAATTATACAACCTGTAGAGAACAATGACACGCTTTACTCTCTCAGATCAGATCAGTTTAGCTGTGAATCCATTATTAAATATAAAGTACAAACTTAAAGCACAAATCAATGTTTGATGGATCATTGACTGAGGTCAAAAATGTCACAGAACAAAAAATATGATCATAAAACATCCAAAGTTTAATTCAAGAAAGAGAAAAACTTCTTTATTGCACTGTCTGTACTTTTATGCAAAATCTGTTTTATTAATGACACTATTCACTACATAGATCTGTACTAGTATGTATGGAGGAGTGATTGTGTGTGTGTTTACAGGTTTCTCCTCCATCACCAAATACAGTCAAATCTGAGATCACCTGCATTGTTAGATATTATTTGCGTATTGCAGTTCATTATTAAACATTGTAATAACATCCATCCGTTTTCCAATACGTTTTATCCTCTGCAGGTTTGCGGGCAGCTGGAGTCTATCCCAGTGTCTTGAACGGATGGCCAGGCCATCACAGGGCTCACAAACATTCACACCTACAGTTAACTTATAGTGTCCAATTCACCTCTGCTGCATGTCTTTGATTGTGGGGGAAACCGGAGCACTCAGAGGAGACCAACACAGACACGAGGAGAACATGCAAGAAAGGCCTCCTGACTCGGGGACTCAAAGCGGGGACCTTTTTGCTGTGATGCAACAGCGCTACCCACTGAGCCACCCCATGTAATTGTCACGAATCCGGTCCATGGACTTCCGTTCAATCGCCACCAGAGGTCACTCTTCCGTTACATTGACTCTCACACTACACAAACTGTTGCATGTCATCCCGGACTACATATCCCATCATCCATTGCACTGATTGCACACAGCTGTAACCAATCTCACACTCACTATATTACACCCACTCAGATCTTTTTCAAACTGCCGAGTATTGTTTAGCGTGTATCACTGCTATAGCTGATAGCTACCTTACGGAGCCTGCTTAGTTTTCCTAGCCTTATCTTAGTCTTGCCTTGTCTGTTTTTTCGTGTTCTGATCTTTGCCTTGTACCTGGATTATCCTTCTAGTCTCGCCCCTGTTGGATTACGTTCGCCGTCGACTGACCGTTGCCTGATCCTCGCCTGTTTTGACCGCGCCTTTTATAAAGCTTGCAAATGGATCCGTACGTCTCACGTCTTGTTTGCCCCGTAACAGAATACTCGGCCATTCAAGGATCAAGCGGCTTTACCGAAGGACATTGGCCAAGTATGAACACAGCGATTCTAATACTAGCTCTCAAGCAGGGCACACGATCACTTGAGGGTTACATTGAGGAATATTTGGCTTTGGCTAATGGCTCAAAATTACCGGAATCACAGCTGATCATCCAGTCACGTCACATCACAGCTGATCATCCTGAGTCACGTCACCTCGCATCTGATCATCCTGAGTCACGTCACAGCTGATCTTCCAGAGTCACGTCACAT